CAAGATATCCTACCACTCGAGCCCAACACTTAAAAAGCAACTATGGTCATCTACTGCCCTGACTGCGGAAAGCACGCATCCTACACCAATGCGGCTAAAACCGAAATCTTCTGCGCTGACCATAAGAAACCCGGAATGAAGCTTAATCGCGGATTAAGATACGCTTGCGCCATAGCTGGCTGTCGAAAGTCAGCAACATGCGGAGCTAACAATCAAAAGACGCATTGTGTGGAGCATAAGGATCCTACTATGGAGCGTCGTCAGAAGACTACCAATATCGCATGCGCGGCGCCGCGTTGTAGAAAGACAGCGCTGTTTGGTTTAAAGTCTGATGGAAAGAAGTTGCGCTGTGCTCAGCATTATTTGCCTGGCATGGAGAACCTTGATAAGCGAGATGATAGTTGTAAAGAGCCTACGTGTTCGCGTATTGCAACTCATGGTTTCATGAATGATAGAGTTCTTCTGAGATGCATCAATCATGCTCTAGAAGGCATGCAACAAATACCGAGACACCGTATCTGTACTGTATGCGGCATAGCGGCATCATATGGTTTGCCTGGACAGCCGCCACAATACTGCACCGCTCATGCGCCTAAGGGTACAGAAGATGATATTCATCGACAAAGCGCAGAAGCTGGCTGTACCACCCGCCCATGGTCAAATGGTTCTGGAACTCCGTACTGCTCCAAACATTGTCCTAATGAAACCGTAAAGAAAGTAATGGGAAACATGCTAGATCAGATCGATAGACACTTTAACCCTGATACCTTCAGGCTTTGTCGCCATCTAGATCATGACATACTAACAAAGCCAAGAGCGATCTATGGAATGGAACCCAATAAGCCGCTAATGTGCACTGCTCATAAGGAGCCACATCACTTCGATGTAGTACATGCGCTTTGTATTACAGAGGGCTGTATGGCTCGTGCTAGCTTTGGCGAAGATGATGGCCCATTGCTCTTTCGCAAAGCCCATAACAACGGGTTTGAGAACCAATCGCTTAAGAGGTGCGACATCGATGGATGCAATACTTGTGTATGCTATGGTATCCCAGGCGAGACGCCTACTCGATGCGGTGTACATGCGGATAGAACTACAATGAAACCCAGTTGGAAGTTTTGCTTAGAAGACCATTGCGAATCTCAACCTACCTATGGATGGCAGACAGATATGAAACGAATGTATTGTGCTAAACACGCCAAGCCATCCATGATACCCATTGGTCGAATGAAATGCGTCGATTGCGATGCACTACCTACCTTTGGACTTATCGGTTCGAGCAGAGCGACACACTGCGCCAAACATTATAATCGCCAAACAATGCATGATGTTCGTCATTCAAGATGTATGGAGTGCGACAAGCAACCAACGTTTGGCTTAAAAGGATCTAAGACGCCAACTCACTGTGTGGAGCATTATGATCTCAATACGATGGCTGATATCCGCCATATCACATGCGAAATCAAAGATTGTAAGAAGCGACCAACCTTTGGATACGAACGCGGTAAGGCGCTACGCTGCAAGCAACATAGCGCAGGTAAAGCTATGTTTGATGTTATGAACCCTGTTTGTAGCAACTGCAATAGCACAACTGCCAATCGCAACTATGAATCCTTTTGCGCTCAGTGCTACTTCGATCTTAACCCAGAAGCGCAGCATGTTATCAACTACAAGACAAAGGAGTTAGCATTCACGAACGCGGTAAAAGAGTATTATCCAAGTCTCATTCAAGATCGTGTCATCGAAGGCGGATCATCGCGCAGACGCCCTGATGCGCTGCTTGATGTTGGAACGCATTGTATCATCATTGAGATCGATGAACGCCAGCACTCGTTGTACGATGATGAAGAATACAGACTCAAACAGATACATGAAGATCTTGGCTTTCGCCCATTGACTGTGCTACGTCTAAACCCAGATGGTTATACGGATAATCGAAAGCGTGTAGTCGGATGCTTCACTTGTAGCAAAGCTACCAACCAACTAACTCGCAATGAACGAGAGTACCAACGGCGTCTTAAGGAACTGTTAGATACTGTCGAAGATGCGATAACGAAACCTATCAATGGCATTCATGTCATGAAGCTATT